ACCCTGCCATGAAAAACGAATAGGCAATAAATAAAAAGTGTCTTAAGTATGTGGATATGATGACGACTGTTAAGATGCAGGTATATCTTCGTCTTTCATATATACTGAGTAAATATGTTAGAAGGATTATGATCAGCATTTGCGTCTTGGGTGGCGCCTTAACTCATGATTCTTTGCTCAGCTTCTTTTTACTCAATGCTTGTAAAAATTGGTGAGGTTTCTTTTTAATCGAAGTGTTAAACATTCGGAAAATGGGCATTTCGCTTATCATCATATCTCATCCCCGGTAAAAAGTAATCTCTGGCATAGATCACTTCGAAGGTTTGCACATATTTTCGAAGTCACATATGAAAATAACTCATGTAAGCTATACTTGGTATACATGGCCCCCATTTCAGCGTTGACTGATCGGTTTGATTGTTTCCACTGAAGTGATTAGTGGTTTAGCATATTTATGTGACATCTTCAGGAAACTAATGCTGTTCGAAGTATTCGAGGCCGTCCACGAAAGTACCCGTAGAATATCCGGACTATGCCTAGGCGAAATTCATTCGTTGGAGCCACTTTTATGAACACTGATAAAGCAGAAACCATTTGAAGGATGTGCAGTGAAGTTGAGAACACATCTACATATATGGTATTACAGCAAGATAAACCTTTATTAACTTCATTTTGTATATACCTTAGTTTTGTCTGTTAACTTGGCATTGAGTAGTAGCACGTTCATTGTTATGGCAATGTCATGATGGCTGAAAGTAGACCAAAATTGCTGAGGTAAAGACAAAGAACAAAGGAACAGGAACAAGACAAACTATTCGGTTATCATTCTATTGGACTATCACAGATTTGGGAAAACAAACGGTCACACCACCGAAAGCGAATCGCTGAGCTATAAATGTTTTTAAAAATTGAAGGGGATCAGTTGTTGGGAATCACAAATTCTTTTAATTTTTAGCCCTTTAGCTCGTTTTCTTCTAAACTACTGTACTACAATATGGATCTGACGAATTTGTTTTGAGCTCAATGTAGCTAACGTATTTGAGGAAGGATAGGACAAAACACAGGCCACAGATTTTTATATTTGTATGGTTAGGTTGCTGTAAAAATTCGTAATATATGGTAGAGGAGCGAATCTCTATTTCTGTTCTTTTTGGTGGCGAGAAGGTAGCGTGATTAATTTTTATGTGTGTGGAATGAACACTGTAAACTCAGTCGTTAACAAGTTTTCCGGCGAGGAATGATTCAACGTGAAGTTCCCGGCCTTGAAGAATCGAGGATGCCGAACTGAGGATGTGACGTTATTATGCTTGTTCAAGATTTACAGCTAAATTTATGGCCACTGCGATTCGTTTGCTACCAACTGAATAATGAATGCGTTCGATACACACCATTCAGCGGGTCCCACTCATAGCGCAACAGCACGGATCTGAGGAAGGTGAAATCGCTGAAACGCCAGCCATCAAACAACAACAACAACAAATACAACTTTAGCCAGCACTTTGCAATTAGATAACAGGGACCAAATAAAGATAGCAGTACTTTAAGACCTTTCTGAATTTTTCACAGGTTGTAAAGGTCTAAATCTAAATGGTTCATGAAGCTGCATTCTGAATGGTGATACGGACAACTCGACGGAGAAGGACCGTCAAGTAACTTTTAATGCAGTACCTCATGACTAGTCAATAAATACTCGACTAATTGGAAAAGACAAGATTCATTTCCCGTTGCATGCTGAACAGACTGTAACGGATGCCGCTGTGAATATCAAAACGTACTCCTCACTTCTTTTTCGTTTTTCGCCCTGACTGAGATGGAAGGATGCCGTAAAGCCAGTCATGTCTACTAAAGGTGATTAGTTGCGAAACAGTCTTGGTGTCTCGTAACAACTGCAACACCATTTCCAACCATAGACGACCTTCATAGGAGTTCACTGCGTGTATGACAAAAGAGCGAACACAAGTGACAAAATCAAGTGGATGGTGGGTTAAATGATCCAAGACTAAATTAGAACAGATAGAACCACAAACTCGAGGTTTGACTTTACAAAAGTCGCAGTTGTTCTTATTCAGTGAAACTTAACAACGACCATAATAGTTGAGATTTTTTTTCCTTATCCCGGTGGGACTCTTATGCTTATGCAGTAGTAGGTTGTTGAATGTACAAAACACCTAGTCTTACATGGATTTGCGTTTTCCATACCGCCATTGTTGAGGTTCTGGAAGTTTCATTCTTCTTTTTACTTTGAAACATCGAACGTACCACAGGCGCAATGTTATGTTTGAGTTTATTACCATTCAAATAAGTTCTAACATTGTCTTCTACTAGGAAGCAATTTTAGAAACACAGCGCTTCTGCTACTCTTAAAAAGATCAGCTTCCCATTTAGCTGGATACCGACAATGGACAGACGGTGTCTTGGCGCCTAGGGACGCGTTGGAAATCTCTGCATCTAGTCGCTGGAAGCGTTGTAATAAAAAGCCAGAACCGCCTTTTGGCTAACAATGCATAGCTTCACGTGGTAAAGACGATTCTCAGCTGGGTAGTTGTACACTGTTCACGAACACTTGTAAAGATTTATGTGCAATCCTGATAGAAGTCTTGCACAATAATTCAATATTGTTCGAAATTCTAACCACCAAACAGAGGCTTGTAAGTCGAGATTAGAGTCCTCATAGATAGATCAGGAAGTTTTGCACTAATGAATTTTCAGCACCCGACCTGACCTACTTTGGCTACTTTGATTTTATCCCCAAGTTGTTCAGAATTTCTTGTGTTTTGCGAACGATTCGTGGTGGACTTGAATTCCTTTCTGTTGTCTTTCAACTTGTACTTTGGCTCCATGATTCCCGTCACTGGTCTCTGATGAGATGACATGCGTTGTTCTCTTTATATTACATTTGTAACAAATAATAGTTACATATTATATGCTATGTAAGCCATACCCATGGATCTCCTCAAAGAGGGATCTCATGTCGGTTAGTCGCTAGGCAACGTTTTGCGCCCCGCCGTAGGCGGCGCTTTGGAAGTTAATTGTGGACCAAAGCAACCTCTGCTTCCTTGAGACGCAGTTGGATCCAGGGGATGGACTCCTCGATTCTGCTGCTCCGATTTGGCACCTATCTTCTGAATTTCCGAGGGCGTATTTATGCATACGTTCGTGGGAACACACGGCTCATTGAAGTATCGCGAAAGTACAAAAGACCGCTCTGTCTCACTTTCATCGGTTTACAAAAGACCTTTGATTCAGTTGAGATAGAAGCAGTCTTGGAGGCCCTTGATAGTCAACGAGTTCTTACTCAGTACATAAAGATTCTTCGTGAGCTGTGCAAAAATTTCACAACCAAGATATCACCATTCTACAGCGATATTAACATCGACGCCAAAGAAAGGGTTAGGCAAGGTGATGCCATCTCGCCAAAATTATTTACCACCACACTCCAGAACGTCATGCGAACATTGGGATAGGATAATATGGGAGTGAAAATCGACGGTCGGCAGTTACACCATCTTCGTTTTGCTGATGGCATCGTCCTTATAACACTAAACATTAGCCAAGCGGGACGTATGTTTGACGACTTTGATAAAGCCTGTGGAAAGGTCGGTCTTCGACTAAATCTCACAAAAACGATGATCATGAAGAACGGATTGGTTTCGCATGCCCCATTCACGCTCAACGGAACGAATATCTCCGAATGCTCCAGTTATATCTATTTAGGTCGGGAAATCAATATGATGAACGACTTAGTTCCAGAGCTGAGCAGAAGGAAACGAGCGGCTTGGGGAGCTTTCAAAAGCCTCAAGGATGAAGTAAGAAGAACAAAGTGAGCCCAACTCTGTGCCCACCTTTTCAGCTTCACGATATTTCCTACCTTAACATGTGTGTGCATCGGAAACCTGGTCGCTGAGTAAGCAGGAAAGAAGGTCACCTCAGCGTTATTGAACGTGTAGTCGAAAGGACGATGCTAGGAGTATCCCGTGTCACGCAAGTAAGGGAAGGGATCCGAAGCTCCAACCTGCATCAACAATCAAAAATCAAAGATGCCGTTCTGTACACCACACAGTCGAAGATAAGGTGGGCCGGACAGATACGTTCTTCAGGACGTGGAACGCACTGCAGGAAAACCACCGACCCGGTGGTTAGAGTTTTTCACGAAAGCTCTAGAGGAAAGCTGTGTTGTTCATCGAGTCCTTAGGGCGAGTTAAAACTAAGGGTTACTCTTGTGTGTATCAGGGAAGAATGGAAGATTTAGTGGCGCTCGCTCGAGTAACGCGACGATCAATGGGACGAAAAATAATACAAGGTGACCTAGTCCATAAGGAATTAAATTAGAACAACGTCAATTTTTTATTTATTCCCTATTACAATTTCTTCACGGCAAGGTGTTATGTGTGGTACAACCACAATGATGCTGAGATATTTGCAAAACTCTGGACCACAGGTGTCTGCGGTTGAGAACGAACGCGATATTACTTTTTCCGGGGGCTAATGCGTTCACCACCACACCATGCGGATCCTGGTGCTGGTTGTATCATACATAATACCCTGGCGTGAAAAAATTGCAATAGGCAGTAAATAAGTTTGAACACTTGTAGATATAGTCATACGAAAGATAAAACGCCAGTTAGTGGTATATGCAACGAATGCACTAAAGTGGAAAAAAGTAGACGAAACCTTGTGTGAAAGTCATCTAGTCGTCACAGTTCATTCTTAGAGACTAAAATGTACCTATGGACGATTCTAACAACCGACGGTTTTGTTTACAAGTTTAGTAACAGAAGAAATATGTTATTAACGTCCAGCCAATAAGTTTACAATTAGGCGAATGCTCGCGCTTTTGGAAAAAGTTCACCAATATTAGTAATCTCCTCATCGTAGACACCTCAATCACCGCATTGTTGCCGTACTCAATCGTGTCGTCACGCGAGGAATTTGTTTCGTACTCCTCTTTCTCCATCGTTCTCATTGCCATCTTAATCAATCTGATCTACTTTTCCGACTTCCTAAGACAAGGTTAACTGGCCTTTCTGAAAACGACACTCACCTCCTCGGTGATCTCGCCTAGGTTGCTCGGTATGTTCAGTAGTTGATTCAGTGTGACGGTAGTTAGATCTTGTGATGTGGCTTTCGGTCTAAAATAAATCAAATATGAAAGATTAAAGCATTCACAACAATCAGTACTGTGAGGAATATATAAGTTGAAAGTGTTCTTGTATTACAGTTTTGCGTAGTGTTCCAGCCTTTTTCAATACCTTGAGTTCCAACGGATGTGTACTGAACGCCACGCTCTTAATCGCTAAGAGGTCAAGCACAATTCGGCTCCAACATCCATCCAGCTTAATTTGCGTAGTGCTCCAGCCTTTTCCAATATCTTGAGTTCCAACGGATGTGTACTGAACGTCACGCTCTTAATCGCTAAGAGGTCAAGCACAATTCGGCTCCAACATCCATCCAGCTTAATGTTGTTCCCAGCAGTACACTCTTAATGTTTCATACTAGTCTGGTTCCCCCTATAACTATGTACAGAAAAAAGTCGCCAAAAATTTCTTACTTCTGCGCAAGAGGTACTATTTCAGACAATTTATGTAACAGCTTAAAGGATAAAGGATAAAGCTCCCGGCGTTGATCAATCCCTTTAGGGTGCGCGATGCATTCGACTTCATTAAGTATCGTTGGAGGTGATTGGTTGCATATCTGGCCTTTACAATGACTGGCGGTGGCCTACCGATGTATTGCGTCAGTGCTGTTATCGCCCCAGACAAGTTTGGTAACAATTTGCCGACCCCGCTAAGATGGAAGGCTTCGTGGGCTATGGGCACGAGGATTGATTCCACGTGTGTTGCAGGACGCCACCGATCACTGAATCACACGCGCCCATGTAAGAGCTTCATATGACAGCACGCATCCAGAAAAGGTGTGCGTACAGTGGAAGAAGAATGCATTGGTAACAAAGCAGTTTCTGCACATTCAAGAATTCAGTCGAATGTATGGTTACTTGTTGGACTACCCGGAAAGAAGAGGAATTGACGCCTCAAAAACGTTCATGAAAATCTAGAACTGGGACGAATAAGTATGACACGCATAAAGGTTCAAGTTCTGCACGCTTGGATCAAACAAACTTCACTATGGATGATTCCAGCACAACAAGTCCTTGAACCTTTCTGTAAAAGATTATTTGATTTTTTTTCATTTCTACTGATGTGTTTCAACATGATGACGTGCTTGGTGCTCGTAGCGCAGTGGTAGCGATACCTTTGTATTGCAGTTGCTAGTCGAAAATAGGCCTTCGAGTCAGTTCTCGGCACCGAATATTCACTAGCTTTTAGCAGAATGCTCGACTTTATGAAAAAATGCCACGCGGAACTTTTCGTAGTTGTCACAAAGCAATACCTCAAACTTGGGTAATTAAACCGTTTATAAACAACTGAAACATCAATACAACACTAATATCTACAGAGAACTACTGACACACAAATAAAGCATGTTCAAGGCTATGAGGTGCTGTACCTACTACTAATGCGAGGCTTACGAAGGCATAAGAGTATTGCAGATAATACTTACATTAGTATTACATATTACAACATTAGTACTATGATAACAGCAACTTGATAACAATGACAAGTAGGAGGGTAGGAACGATGGCACCCGGACTGGCGCGTACAGTGGCCCAGATGCCGAGGGCTATAACAACAGACGAGTGAGATGCAGATGAACCCTGCATAATGCTAACCTAGGGATCGTATGTAGAGCGGCTGGGTGCACTTGCACATTAATCGATGAGGATAGCAAGGAAAGATAACGACTGAGAAATGATAAGCCTATAGCGACTTAACAAATACACAGCATAAGTTGGCCGGCTAGCGGCCTTGTACGCATGGCGTACCGTATGGGAGAATGGTACATACCACCGATGGCGCTTCAGACAGAACGCATTTGAGGATAGCCGCCGCTACTGACAACACACCGCAGACCAATTGATAAACAATGAACATTGACAAGAGGATGAGGATGACGATCAGGATCAGGATCGGGATCAGGATCAGGATGATGATGAGGAAAAACTGGGCTGATGGAAAGCGTGACGTAGTGACAGTGATGCTAAACTAATTTACAATTCGCAACTGTCACTTAACAATGATATGATGAAGTTAATGTACAATAATGACTACGTGCTGTATGACTTGATAACTATGACAATCTACATTGGTGACACACGAGATCAATACGGTGCGGATGTAAAGAGCCGGCGAACCCCGACACGGGTGAACCTGGATAGTCGACGAACCTGTGCAACAATTAACGAACCTATTTATATGCTTCTGGAGAAGGCGGTATTTGGCACAGGTCCAACATCTTTACCGAAAATATTCGTCGGCTACCGTCTCCATATCCTCTCAAAACCACATCATCAGGCGGAAGACTGCTCTCGGAAACATCCTCATGCCCTTCTTGTTATTGTACGCGTGATGACTTTTGAACAGTAATAACAAACAATGGTTCAGATTGCAAAAATAACAAGACTGTTTACAGCGATCGAAGTTGCTAAGGACGGGATCGAAATATTTACGTACTACGACATTTGCTAGGCAACTTGAGAAACAGTGGATATGATCCTTAATACTGAAACATACAGTAGCAGAAAGATACAAATATATATAGAAAGAAATAGAAACTATTCTGGGAATAGTTGCTATACTTTGAAAGGCACTGCCTCTGTGACAGACCAACCTACTCCACCAACATTCAATGAGGTTCATGACGGAGACCGCAAATCCCAGCGTGGCAGATAAAATCAAATGCGAATCCGAAAAGGTTCAAGCACGATGGATGGAAGGAAACGAGTCGAATGGGAGAAGAACAAGGATCCGCACAATATGCAACGTCGGGTCATGTGAAAAAAAGTTTAGAGTGACGAAGTGCGTGAATATACATTGTGAGGAGGCCGTAAAGAAAATTTTCTTCAGTGACCTACTGCCTACAAACCACTCAGTTGAACGTTATTAAAAAACTGCTTTTTTATAGATGTAGTAGCAGATTCATGAGTGAAATATTAACAGATTACTAGACAGATCCCGTTGACGGGTGATTGCTGATGGCACTTATAGACAGAACTAGGTGAAAGACAGGCGAAACGAAGGACCCGCATGGTGTGGTGGTGAACGCGTTAGTCTCCGGCAAGGGTAATAGCGCTTTCTTTCCCCACCGTAGACACCTGCTGTCCGGAGTTTTGCAAATATCTCAGCAGCATTGTGGTTATTATCAGATTCCCTGCAATTTTTTCTTTTTACAACGATGTTGCTAGTAGTAGCAGGTATAAGAGTTCTGGAAAGATTTGGAGAAATATTTATATTAAAGAAAAAATTAACTGAGTAATTAATCCTGCTTGAAAATTTTGTTGTGATATCTAGATGGGAACATCAATATGAAGAAGATTCTCCACATTTGATGTTTATTTACCCGCCAAGTTTTAAAAACCTTTCCAATGGAGTTTGGATGTGTTTCTGTGCATTTGCTTCGCAACTTAGCAAACATGAAGTCATGAAAGTCATCTGGTCACGGAATCACCTTGTTCCAAATGAACAACGTAGAGCTCGAACTCTTTGGGACATTGTTCCAGAAGATCGGCTTCTTTCAAGGTCTTTTCACGCTCGGTTGGTCCGTGATCTGTCATGTTTTTCCTGTAAACAAAACACCGGAATAAATTAAACCTAAAATGGGTGGCTTGAACTCTCATTAGACAGCAACTCTATAGGTGACTTGATTTAGCTGAGAAAAGCACTGTATGAAGTGGAACCCAAACAACATCCTAGTGCGCACTACTTGCATCGGAGAGCGGTGACAAAACTCAGTAACTATAATTGTTGAGAAAGTTCTAAATGCTTGAATACCGCATGAAGCTATAGAAAACATCGAAATTTCGTTAGAACTGGTAATGATTACTTCGTTCCTGCAAAAGTTTTACACAGATTGCTTATAGAGGGGACTTCTGAAACGTGGTACAAGCGGCAGTTATCTCAGTTACTAGTTACCTAAATTTGTGGAAAAAATCTATCGTTTGTTCAAAACCTGATGGCCGTCAAGTCTCTAGTTGAGAAGTCAAAGAACCAAACGACTTCATCAGAAATGAAACAGACAGCAACGCAGTAGTGTTCATCTTGTTTCCATCATACGTGTAGATTATGTTAGCAACACATTCACAGCGAAGTCCGAGGAGGAACGATAAGAGGCTAACGTTGATCCACAGAAAGGTCGTTAGCGGTTTCATTATTCTCGAGCTTTATTTTCACCCCATCGTTCACCTTCTTAGTGCTCACCATGGGAGACTGTCATTTCGACGAGCATGTAGAAGAGTGACCAGAGGTCGTCATGCCGACCCTGCTCTTCCCGACTGTGGGCGTTGACAAAACAGTAGCGTGTCGTTCCTCTAAAAAGAACTCCGCAAGAATTTTTGTCTTCGTTTTGCCTATCTAACTACTTTTCACCGAACAATCTGTTGTTGAAAAGGTGTTAACTCATTGTTAACCCATCTAATTCAACCATGACCTGGACTCTTCTGTGACATGTGACTTCGTAGCGGATTAATCTCCAAGGAATAATACAAGATTTGTTCATTCTTGCTGTGCTACATTTTCTGGGTGGTAAAAAAGGATAAAAGGATAAAGCTCTAGGCCTTGATAAATTCCTTACGGGTGCATTCGTTCCATGCATTCGACTTCACTCAGCACCATTTGCTGATGATTAAATGCATATCTGGCCTTTACAAAGACTGGCGGTGGCTGGCCTACCGATGTATCGAGCCAGTGCTACTATCCTCCCAGACAAGTCTGGTACCAATCTGCCAATAGCGGACGGACGGAGGATATGGTGTGCCAGGGGCGTGGAATCCCATGTATACTGCAGGGCGCCTCCGACCACTGCACCACACGCACCCATTGTGTTGATGTTGAATGATAATGAAGCTTTTGTCCAGCATGGAACTCGTGTGAACCTTCTCACTGATGAGATGGTAGTTGGACTCCTTCAACGAAAGTAGGATTGGTACATAAATCCTTTCCTCCACCTGGAGATATGCGACCGACACGCGTATGGGACGTCTATTACATCCACAAACATTGAAGCTATCGTTCTTGGAAAAACATAAACATAGAATAGATACGGTAATATCCCCATACATAGTTGCAAAGCATGTCCATTTTGAACAAGTTTAAAGTACATTATTATGGAGGGTCCGCTTTCCAATTAATGCAAATACATAAAGGATTTCCTGCACATATTAACAAGTGCGTTAATATCTTCAACTACATGACACTTATTTTCACTGTCTCTCTCCTTTCGTTTGTTCCGATAAATGTGGACAAACTAATGTATAGGACACAATCTCTAGGAATCTAAGAATATAGGAGTTTAAATGGCTGATCACTTTTAACTAAGAAGATAATAATGCGGTTTTTTCATGACCAAACACCACATGTTGTGCGGATTCCAGTAGTTTTTTAATTCAATTGAATTTCTTGGATCCATTATCAAAAGCGGCCTTCGAACTTTTTGCATATTGGTTTGGCGGCTATATGAAGATTTTACTTGGTACTTTGTACTCGGACGGCCTGTCCTCACTGGTTGTGCGGGCCTCAACAAAATTTCCACTTTTCGAAGTTTTGATGGTTTAGCCATTGTGGTTCCCTGGAGTCCCAAGGTCAGCCTGGTCAAAGTCTGCCCCAGGTCGCTACCACCGCGGACAGTCGCCACCCTTGTGAATCAAAGGGAGATTTGCTACCATGCGACCAATTTGATACCAGGGCGGTGATTGATTCTGATTGTTGGTTTACTCCTGGCTAGACTTCGTGTTGGAAGCGCCGGACTCATTCTCAGCTCGGGAGACCCTGCCGGTGAGACGAATCCCCCTGCTGTACATCGCAGTCCGACACCCTGGAACACCTCCCAGCCACGATGAGGCGGTAAGTCTTTGAGAGGACTTGAAGATTTCATCTTCATGAATGTCGCTAAATACTGGATAAGTACATTCACCACGAGACGTTTTCAACCGCTATGAATCGGAGGAAGTCTTTTCCAGACATATTCTGGTCACAAGGAGAGGAGGCTTGGTTACGCTGGGAAATGCTGAACTATGGTCTTACGAGTACTAAACGGCATGTCCATCACTGTGCTATCTATGATACAAGAATACGGTTTCTATCATAAATTCTCGCGTTTTTCCAAATACTGAAGTCATTCTCAATGTGACTTTAAGGCAAACTATTCGTATACCTGAACTGTACAACTTTTCGTGGATTCCGAAGCACTTCCCTGCCATCCGGAGTTACCTTCTGAAAGATTCATCAGATTTTTGAGTGATTTCACTAAATGAGATTTTTTGTAGAACATTCTATAGAAGCGTACTCTAAATGATCTTGCCAAACGGAAATCGAGAATGTAGATAAGCTTTTCTTTCGGTGTTCCTGGTAATCCAATAGCATAGTTGGACGGTTTAACGTCACGGTGGACGAAGCTAAACCTTTTCTATTTCGCTGCCATTGTTCATTAGTTTTGTGCTATCCTACTGTCCATTCCATGAACGACTTAGTTTCAGTTACGAACTAACCCAGCGTCATGGACTTCTTTGAATGAGTCCACAGTCTGCACTGCGACGACGGTAACGGTGAATAATGTGAACTTCTAAATAAATCCTATCTGTCAGGGTGTTTCAAATTAGAACAGTAAGCTTTCAACGATTTACAGTTCGTGAGTTGCTCACAAGGTCACACCTTGGCTACTTCTAAAACTCATCGATCGGGAGAGGGTGTATTATTTTGAATTCCTTTGCAAAAAGAGTCGGCTCTTCTCGTTTTGGACAATTTTGCAGTGAAATGAATCCCAGCTACAAGTTACAATTCGGCGCGTGGAGGGAGGACAGGCAGCGTACGAGGAAAGAAGGAAAAACACATATGTCATCTAGAAATAATTAAAGGACCCTTATTTCAAGTATTTTTCACTTAATTTACGTACAAGCTCACGTTTCGGCAGATTTCGCCTTCCTCGGAGCCTAGAATGGTCAAGTTGACTGCAATCTACACGGCCAAACACCTCCATAACCAAACAAAGAAAACGCTAAACCAAGATGTATTCTTTCTTTGATGAGCTTACACGAGGTTGATAATGATGTTTATTTTCAGCTAACGTTTCGACGTCTTCGTCTTCCTCAGAGCCGATGATCCGAGTCGATGGTCCTCGCTTGCTATTCGCCCCGACGTGGCAGCTTCGCCTTCGTGTCGAGTTAGGTCTTCTTCAGTGAGCCATCTCCTCGAATGAGGAATCCTTACTCAGTGATGCCCTTTTATACACGATGCTGATGGTCGATATAATGGTAATGTCCGGTGATAACAACTTGTTTTTCTTCTGGACATACATCATTGCGCACATCGTGCAGAAGTCTGTGTTGTTATCAGCTAGCACAAAGCGTAGTAATATTTCGAAACCGACTTTCCCTGAACCTCGGTATCCCTAATCAATATGTATTTTTTCTTTGATGAGCTTACACGAGGTTGATAATGATGTTTATTTTCGGCTAACGTTTCGACGTCTTCGTCTTCCTCAGAGCCGTTGATCCGAGTCGATGGTCCTCGCTTGTTATCCGCCTCGACGTGGCAGCTTCGCCTTCGTGTCGAGTTAGGTCTTCTTCAGTCTTCTTAGGTTTTTCTTCTTCTTCTTCAAGCTCATCAAAGAAAGAATACATATTGATTAGTGATACCGAGGTTCAGGGAAAGTCGGTTTCGAAATATTGCTAAACCAAGAATTCAATCTCATTGAACACAGAGTCTTTGCACACTCATCACTTTCTATGAGGTTTCCACTAAGTATGTCACGTAGAGACCAACCGCACAGAAATCACGTGGAAGTATAATGTGCCCCTCACATCAGAAAAGCAGTTTTATATACTGCCCTATATCACGCGTGATAATGAGGCATTCTTCCCTACGGTTCATTTTCGGATTTCTGGAATTAATCCAGAACGCCTCTAGAGTTTTGCGCGCTTGTGTTCTCGATTCTTGCGGGAGAATCCTAACCTCTACTTCAAAATCTTCTCTGCCATGTCTCTGCGGCCTATGCGTGCCTTGTGGAGTATTTGGTTTACGTTTGCGGAGTAGGTGTTCTTTTATACGGACGCAGAGTGGTCTACCCGTTTCGCCAATGTATTCGTCCCCACACGATTTACAAGAGATCAAATAGACTGTACCCGAACTCATGCAGTCACCGTCTCTACCATTGGGGCAAATTATGCAATTTTGCGTAGCACATAGACGGTCGTATAGGCGGTTACGAACTAGCTGGCGCCTTAGATTATTCAGTGGTATTTCGATTATCGTTACCGGATTCTCTAGACTGTCCCTTCTTAAACAGCGTTTTATGGCTGCACTTACTTCATTTGAAATGAAGGATAGGTTAAACGGGACCTAATTACCGCTAGAGTTATCGTTGGAGGCCTGTGGTTCCCTCTAGACCTACCCCGAGTTACAGTTTCGTAGCCATTAGATATGGCTATTTGCCGCACCAAGTTTCGGGACTCCTCTCTCTCCTGTCTTCCTATGCACACGCTGGTAGCTCTTCGAAACATGTTTCTCACAAGGGCCCTTTTCGTGTGAGAGGGGTTAGAGGAGAGGTAATGAACCAAGATGTTTTTACTACTTGACTTTCGTTATCATTTCGCAATGTAGCCGTTTTCTGATAGGTTAATTTCCACGTTCAGAAACGGAAGCCAGTTTTCTTTTGGTTTCTCTCGGTTGAATTTAATATACTGTGACTGTTCGCTCAACAACTCGAAACATCTGTCAATTTCCTCTTCTGTTGAACAAATGACCAAGCAATCATCTATAAATCTACAGTAGAGTAACCGCCCAAGATCGATTACTGGTGCTTCCACCTGAGACATGAATGCAATGCACTTATAATTCCGCATCAGTTAGATGTTGAGATAACGGAAAAACACCTTGAAGATGCTTCCCTTTATCGTCAGTCGTCTGAGAAAGAATTTAAAAGCCAATACTGAAAATTAAACAACGAATGGGATAAAATGGTAAGAGCGGCTGGGCTAGAACCATTAGTTATCTCTCAACTCAAAGTTGACTTACCAACATGTCCGGTCCTGTACTTACTTTTCAAAACCCATAAGTTAGTATCCAGCGATGATCTCGTGTCTACCGATCCATCGTTATTTAAGGTCAGACCTATCATTAGCTGCGTGGACGGGTCAACGGATAGAATAACGTGGTTAATAACCCTAATACTTACCAAGTCGTTGAAGTACATTCGAGCCGCTCTAACGAATACGCAAATGTTCCTGGATCGTCTACGTACTGTGCGTCCCAACAACGCGTACGTGATGGAGTCCTTCGACGCAAAATAAGTGCGAGCAATACCAAGTGGGGGCCCTACCAATAGCACCATTTCCCCAGCCGTTCTTTAGACAACAAGAGCTCAATAATGAAGTTGATGTTAAATTTCGGATGTTTGCGATTGAAACTCTCAAAGTCCTTAATCGCTATCGCACGAAAGGATACAGCTCCAACCTCATTGAAGTGCAAAAACGTCATATGCGTGAGGTACGAGAGCTGATAAGGTTGAAAAACAAAAACTAACCGTTAGTGATAAGGATGGAAAGTTTGTCGTAATTCCCCATCAGTTAGATGTAGAGATAACGAAGAAGCATCTTGAAGATGCTTCACTTTATCGTCCATCACCTGAGAGGGAGTTCAAAAGTAGATGCCGAAAATTGAACCACGAATGGGCCAAAATGGCAAGGGCTGCTGGTTTAAAACCATCAGTTATCTCTCAACTAAAAGTTGACTTACCAACATGTCTCGTTTTGTGCTTGCTTATAAAGACTCATAACTTAGTATCCAGCGATGATCTTGCGTCTACCGATCCGTCTACCGATTGTTTAATCTTGGACCTATTGCTGTGCAGACGAGCCAACGGATAGGATAACGTGGTTTTTAACCCTAATATTTACCTAGTTGTTAAAACACATTCCAGCCCACCTCATGAATTCCCAGATGTTTCTAGACTGTCTACTTACTGCGCGCCCCAACAGCGCGTACGTGATGGAGTCCTTCGACTTTACCGCCCTTTATACAAACGTGTCGAATCACTCCGCTAAGCAAGCCAACAGCGAGCTCCTTATACAACACGAAGGAGCAATAAACATGCATGGCTTCTCGATTCAGCAGTTGATGACACTCTTAAAGGAGTGCCTAAACTGGTTCATCTTCAAATGGTCCGGGAGGTATTACGCACAAATGAGAGAGCTGGCAATGGGGCAACGACTGGCACTAAGCCTTGCCATTGCATTCAAGTCTAAGGTGGAAGCACCAGTAATCGATCTCGGGCCGTTACTCTAGTGTAGATATATAGATGACTGCTTGGTCATTTGCTCAACACATGAAGAAATTGACAGGTGTTTCGAGTTGTTAAGCGAAGAGCCAGAATATATCAAGTTCACCCGAGAGAAACCGAAAGAAAACTGGCTTCCATTTCTTCTCCTCATATGACTGGCAACTGGAGAAAGCGGTGAGTGTGCAAAGACTCTGTGTTCAATGAGATTGAAATTTTCGTTCAACATTTTCTCAGTCTTGTTATGGAGGTGTTTAGCCGTGTAGGCTGCAGTCAACTTGACCTTTTCAGGCTCTGTGGAAGGCGAAATTCGCTGAAGCGTCAGCTTGTACGTAAATAATGAAATAAAATAACACCTCGTGTTTGCCAAACAGAAGTAGGAAGAATTATTCAATCAATGACGAGGTTAATAGAAAGTCGGACGTTCGAGTTACTTTTTACTTACTTCTCATTTCAACTGATCACAAAAATAAGCCTACCTGGGTTGGAATGACTTTGTGTAAGTCGCTCATAGACGGTCCAAGTAAGCTCATTACCATGAAGTTGTAGTTATCAAACTAAAATCGGATCAAAAGCATATAGGGCTGGGTTGTTATGCGTGTATGCAAGTTGTTATGGTATTAATTATCATTTCTATTATTGGTTGTTATTATTGCTGTCATTATACTAACTAGTGTTATGTTAATTATCACTATAATTGCTATGAGGACGCATGTGGCGTCGATCCCCGCGCCCATGGTCCACCAAGTCTACCATCCCTCCGTGGTCGGTAAATTGGTACTAGACTTGTCTGGGAGGATAACGGCGCTGGCTCGATACATCGGTAGGCCACCGCGAGTCATTGTAGTGGCCAGGTATGCATTCAATCACCTCCAACGATACTTAGTAAAGTCGAATGCATGACGCATTCCTAAGGGATTGATCAATGCCGAAAGCTTTACCCTTTTATCCTTTTATACGGCCAATTCGTGATCAGTACTTTGCCATTCTACAATGAGATGTCTACTGATGTGAAGAAAGACATGAGAAGCTGGTTTAACCTCGAAAAAGTTGTTCAACGCCAGTTAGCATCAATGCCCTGCGGCTACACGGTCTTCGCTTTGCTGTTGACATTGTTCTCATAAGCAAGCACATTTAGGTAGAATGAGTGGAATACAAAATTCGACGTCGTATTTGGAAGAGCCAGTGTTGGTTCTAAGAAGACAACAATAGGTAAGCACAGATTTTTCCTCCGATGCTCCATTCCCCACGACTGGACAAACATCTTCAGAGAACCCAGCTCTGTGATGTGCATGGGTCGTGTAAATAGTCAAAAATCAACGATCCGTTTTCAGAGGCTAGTGCTGGAGAGCGGGCAGCTAAGGCGCTCGAGAGTACCAAAGACTAACAAAGAAAACAAGCCATCCGCTCTCAACATCTCAACAACTCAGTTGATGATGAGCTGAACAAAGTAGAGAAACAGACTATCAAGTAGGAATAAAATTTCGCAAATAGGAAAGAACAAGAGTCTTCAATAATCAAAAGTTCCGAAGGATGCCAAATGCACACAATTAAGTCAGACTTCATTACAAAGACCTTGGATCTTTAAAAACATGGACTTGTTGTCCCTTGAGAGATTTGAAGTCGCTGGTTAACTCATCCACGTGACTAGGACTTCTTTAACCGTTCGAAGTTAACTATGACGACAGCTGGCAAGTTATTCAACTCGACAAACTAAGGGTAAACTTTCCATCCAACAATCTTGTTTATGACATAATACAAAAACTTTTTTCTTTACTGTGGGAACAATAATTACTGCGTGATTTCCAACTAGACACACTTTACCACTTTCAATCCACACTGGGCAATGAATCGCAGTTTTTGTTAATTTTTCTCATCACTTTCTCTTCCATTTTTAGGGTTTCTTCTTCATGTCCACTATCAGAATCCTCCGCCTTAAAATCTTGGGACTTTGCCCATGCATATTTTTGTATACTAATGATGACCAACTTTGAAAGCAAAGTGTCGATGAGGTGACTCGATGAGTGCTACCTCGTAGATCACTCCACATCCACCTTCGCCCAGCTTTCGACAAGCCTAAAAACGTTCAGAAAAGAACATCGACTCTGTCGAATTTGTGAGGAGTACATACGGCAGTTCCGGTGGCCTAATATAGCACAGTTCTCGTATTTTTCTACGGAATACACAAACCAGAGAGAAGCACGTACGATGTACTTTCCTTTGATGATAGAAGTTAGTTGCAGGTTAACCTTTGGTCTTCCCATGAAGTGAGCATGACTGGCCGGTAACAGTGAAAATACCGAAACGTGATGTCCTTTTATACGAACTGAATGAGGATAACAAGAAGGCAAACAATCTGTCAAATCGCTATCAAGTGCTATCGTAAAAGATATCAGCACGTTAACACGTAAGGGCAGGTGCCAGCTTCAAGTGACTACAGCATTGAATGAGGCCCAATTCCATGTTCCGTGTTGGTGTAACTCGACCATAATTGGAATACTTCTCATAATGAACACTGACGATTTATCAAAAACAGGCAAAAAATTCTCGACAACTACAGCATTTGAGTGATTGTGAACAGAAGGAGATAGAATGGGATAAAATATAGAGAAGACAGAGAATTTGTAAGATATAAAATATATGACATGGATACACTTACTTACTTGGACGACCCGTCCTCACTGGTTTTGCGGGCCCCAGCACATTCTCCATTTCTTCGGAGTTTTGCTGGTTTAATCATTGTGGTTCACTGGAGTCCAGAAATCAGCCTAGCCGAAGCCAGGTCGTCACCACAAAGGCGGTCGCCCCCTCGTGGATCAGAGAGAGATTTTCCACTATGCCACTAGTTCAATAGTAGACCGGTGGTGATTACCGACACTGGTTGACTCTTAGCTAAGCTTTCGGATAAAAACATCAGACTCGTTCTCAACTTGGGAGGCCCTGCTGGTGAGATGAAACTTCCCACTGTACATCGCAGCCCGATGCCTAGGAACACCTCCTAAACACGATGAGGAGATAAATCGTTGTGGGTAAAATAAGAAAAAGTAGGTATAACTCCTACGAAATAGGAGTTCGAAATAAGACACAGTATGCAGAAACAAATTGATGAACGTCTAGCACTCATCGAAAAAAAAACAGTTTTGGTGACAACCAGTTAAAAGTGTGCTCTACAGTTCATCTACACAGGTCATGTTACTGATCAACCATACTGTCGCGGTGAACGCATGCAGTTAGGAATCGAACTTCAATGTTGACTTACAGTAGAAACGCCTCTTTCTAGCTAAACAGCAGCACCCATTCTGGACTCTGTTCTTTTCACGATCAATAACCTCTTGCCAAAAGGACTCGTTTAAAAGATAGCTTTTTTATAAATTGTTATGTATACACCTCCCAACGGTTTACCGCCTCATCGCGGCTGGGAGGTGTTCCTGGGCTTCGGGCTGCGATGTACAGCGGAGGAATACATCCCTCGGCAGCATCTCCTACGCTGAGAATGAGTTCAGCGCTTCCATTAGGAAGCTTTGCTAAGAGTAAACCAATACCAGGATCCACCACCGTCCAGGTATCAAAGTAGTCTCATGATAATGGCAAAACTCCCTCTGATCCACAAGGACTGCGACTGCCCATGGTGGTGAAGACCTGAGGCGCAGACTCTGGCCAGGCTGACCTCGGGATTCCAGGGAACCACGTTGGCTTAGCCAGCAAATCTCCGAAAAAATGGAGATTATGCTGGAGCCCGCGGAACCAGTGAGGACGGGCCATTCAAGTATAAAGTACCGAGTATTATGTATACATAGCGATGGTGATGTTGATCATCATGAGCACGGTGCTGGTTCGATACAGCTCCGGGCTCACCAAGGCGCTCATCCTTTCTGGGTCGGGAAACTGGTACCGGACTTGTTCGAGAAAAAATCACTCTCTGCAATGCAAGTAGGAACGCTCTAGCCCGGCTATCTCAGGACTTCAGGGAGAATCGACTCGACCAGCATTCAACGACATTCAAGATGAAATGAAAATCCTCAAGTAGCAACCGAAGCCACACGTAAAAGTTGGAA